CGTGATAATACCGCATACCGTGATAAAAGCATTAGCAATTAATCGCAACATGAAAATTTGATACCGGCATATCCCTAGTTGGAAGAAAAGATCTGTCATGATCTATACTTCGGTTTCATCATCTTTGAGGTTAGCCGATGATAATGGTTCTGACCTTTGTTATTCTGAAGTTGTTATTCCGCTTGGTGTCAATTTTAAACCCTTGCTGACTTATAATGAAATTTTTTTTGTTTTCAAAACTTTTTTTTTTTTTTGTGTGAATTTTGAGAAAATATTTATTTTAATTCAGTCTAGATAACCCAAACTCTAAAACAGTACATAGTTAAAATAAACTTATTATTGAACTACTTTTCGCTTCGTGGAAGTTTCTAAAAGTAGGCTGTCAAATTTAAACAGAATTTGAATAGACAGGCAATAAACACTCGTAGAGACAGATAAACATTCAGCTGAGTATTATTTGAAAAACATCTTCAGCAGCGCTTTGGGAAATAGTGACAGCTCAATGCCTAGTTAATAGGAAGTGGTTGAAGATTATGATGCAAGCATTAGAATAAAAAAACGTTAATATCAGCTCTGAAATCATTAAATGTAGAGAAAACATCTGCAAAACTCACAACAATGATTACATTTAAATACAATGTTATGGAAGTCAGTAAAAGAACATGGTGGCTGGCTGATTATTTCAAATGTATTTTAGCAGTGTTTATTATTGTATGATATCTTGGACATTATTCACAGCCACTTTTGATCTTATAATTGAGGCACTGAGATTTTTCACTCGACTGATCAGTTTGAAGTATTTGTTTTAACTATTTGACAGAAATGCCGTTTGTTTATATGGTTGGAAAACAAATATGTCCTCAGAAAGAAAGAATAAATAAATGACATACTTGCACAAAAGTTGATTTCTGACACGAGTCAATGTAACTGTTGATCCCAAAACAGCAAGAGGAATGAAGTGAACACTTACTGCTTCTGTCCGGCTCATCTGATTCACCTCTGCTGCCTTCAGATAGGAGACCAGCACAAATATGTCCTCTACCAACTGCACAAAGAAAAACAAGTCTTTACATATTCTAATTATTATTAATAATAAAGACATACAAATGAATTGTGCTGTTTGTTTGAAGCATCTTTAACTTGTGCTACAGTTATAAGCGTCTGATCAAGAGGATACGTTTGGTTTTCACTCTTTCTTCCTGTATTATGTGTATTTTTCTTTTCTTTTCCTTACCTGTAACCAGCATGTGAAAACCTGCAGGTATTTTATTCCTCGGAAAATCACCCTAGCAGACATCCCAGACCCCGCACAAACGGTTTCAGTGTGTGTTTGTGAAGCGCCTCTGGACGCTGAGTTTGACTTGCAGGAGCCTCTAATAACGCCTTTCATTTGCATAATTGATTTAATCACTCCTTATCAGGCCTTTTGCAGTTAACTTTTAGTCATTATACTGAAATCTTTTTCTGTCATTATATTCAAGTGTAGTCTGACGGTTTGCTTGAGGACTTGGTAGAGCTGCTTGTGTGTGTTGTTGTCAGATAAATTTCCTTGCGCTTCAGTTGCCATGCCGACCACTGCGCGGCACTGTTGCATTGCACAGAAGATGACTTTAAAAACTTTTTGGACCATGCTATGCTTTGGGATACATTTATAATTTCCTTTACTATTCATGTAATTCTCATGATATGCTACACAGGAGTTGATGTAAGGTAAATGCCTAAAACGGCAATTAACAAGACAGGGGTACAAAAAATGGGCGGGACTTTGTGTCATGGCATAGATTACCAATAAATTAATGAATGAATGAATGCATAAATGTGTGTATGCTTTTATTTTGTGCCTCGTTTATGTAGAAATCGTTGGATTATTATATTTTAAAGTGCCATGTTTTCATTTATATTTAGCGTCGAAAATTTATTAATTTTGATATGCAAATATCTCCAATAAATCAGATTTCAGTGCGATATTTTTTTATTATTTTTTTTCTATGGCCATCCACACGAAGCCAGAGCTTTCCCTATCCGATCCTCTTTTTTTTTTCTTCGTTCTAAAAAAAAAATCCCGTAAACACGGCGTAGCCTAATCTCAATAAATATTTGCGTACACACGAAACCACTGAAACCGACTCAAAACGATGTAGTATACATGCCACACCAGTATGTGTCGCTGTAATTCTGCCACAGAGATACACTAAAAACGGAGAAGAAGACTTGGAGCCAGTGTTGCCATACGTACGATAATTATCGTATCTGTACGATAATTTTGACATCTGTACGATGTACGATCAATAATTTAAAAAATCCCATAATGTATGATAATTTCAGAATTTCACCTGAAAAACCTCAGAGTGTGTTAAGAATTCAGGAGGGTGCCCTGTTTTTAAGCCAATGAGAGCACTATCTTGCGGTCCATGACGGCAAGAACCCCCTCAACATCTGGCAACACGCAGGCTTCCTATGACAGAGACTCACAGGTGGAGTTATTTATCTAGTGTTTTATCTATTGTGGTAATTTGCAGGTTGTGTCAAAAAGTTGTTGGTCTAGATAAATAGCTGTATTCTGTACGTTTGACTCATGTACGATAATTTTCTTCCAAATACGATAATTTTGAGCTTCTGGTATGATACTTGGACATTTCCAATCTGGCAACACTGCTTGGAGCATGCGCATAAACCTTGCGCGCTGTATACAAAATTTTTGCTTTAGTCATTTTTTATTTTTCTTTAGTAAAGCTAATAGGCTCAGTAGCTTCTGCAGCACAAACACATCAGTCTGGACGAAACGCCGATACGATACAAAATCTTTACGTATACAGCTAAATGCTTCTCCGTGTGGACGGGCTCTAAGGCAGGGGTCACACTGGAGGGCCGGTGTCCTGCAGAGTTCAGCTCCAACCCCATTCAAACACACCTGAAGCAGCTAATCAAGCTCTTACTAGGTATACTTGAAACTTCCAGGCAGGTGTGTTGAGGCAAGTTGGAGCTAAACTCTGCAGGACACCGGCCCTCCAGGACCGAGTTTGGTGACCCCTGGTCTGTGGACTCAACGGTTCGTTTTCCAAGAATCCATGGTATGAGATGATTTTTCCATTTATAGCATTCTTTATTAATATTATCTGACAACATAAACGAGTATCAAGTAGTATCCTATCTTGCTTAAAACTAATGACTTGCTCTAGTGTTACAGTGGGTGGTTTTAAGACTCAAGAGTGCTCTTGTTTATAACAGTTTGTTTGCATTTGAAATGATTCACACATGAATAACACTCACAACAGAAGACCATTTATGATCTAAGACAGTCTGTAATTTGCACTGAAATGTGAGTTAATAAAGTAAGAAAGATTTCTGACTTTATTATTGTGCTACTGTAGCACAATTCAAGTCTTTTGAAAGCAGACACTTATATTCATACTGTGATATGGCAAAATGTACTCACCGGGGTTCTGTGTCATTCAGAGTTGAATTTAGAATGCCTTTTAAATTCTATTTCATTTTCTGAATTTGAATCGAGGTTGCAAATGGGATGCAGAATTGTAATTTTAATACGAATTTGAGGAAGTGGATTTAAAATGGAATGAATAGAATAACTGCTATAGGCGTAATAATTCATCAAAATGTCAAATAAAAAAAATTAAGTATAGCTTACATATATACACAGTACTATTCAAAAGTTCGGGGTCAGTTAGATGTTTTTAATGTGTTTGAAAGAAGTCACTTATGCTCGTCAAGGCTGCATTTATTTGATCAAAAATAAAAGTAGCATCTACACTGCAAAAAATGCTTTTCTTACTTAAGTTTTTTTGTCTTGTTTTCAGCCAAAATATCGAAATATTCTTAAATCAAGAAGGATTTTCTAGACAAGTACAAATTATTGTCTTGTTTTCAGAAATAACAAGTCAAAATTAAGTGAGTTTTCGCTTAGAACAAGCAAAATAATCTTATTTCAAACAGAAAACAAGATTATTTTGCTTACCCCATTGGCAGATTATTTTGCTTGTTTCAGGCAAAAACTCACTTAATTTTGACATGTTTTTTCTGAAAACAAGACGATATTTTTTACTTTTCTAGAAAATCCTTCTTGATTTAAGAATTTTTTGATATTTTGGCTGGAAACAAGATAAAAAATCTAAGTAAGAAAAGCATTTTTTGCAGTGTATACCTATTTTCTGTTTTAATATATTTAAAATGTAATTTAAAACTGAATTTTCAGCAGCTTTTTCTGCAGTCTTTGGTGTCACATGATGCTTTTAAAAGTCATTCTAATATGCTGATTTGATGCTCAAAACATTTACTATTATTATCAGTTGAAAATGGTTGCTTAATATTTTTGTGAAAATAGTATTATTTTTAGGATTCTTTAATGAAAAAAAACTTAAAACGAACTGCATTTATTTGAAATAGAAATCTGTTTTGTCACTTTTGATCAGTTAAATGAATTCTTACTGAATATAAATTTATTTAAAAAACATTTTACTGACTTCAATATAGTGCTGTTAATTTGATAGCGGTGAATTTAGTTTTAAGAAATATGTCTAATCAGAATAAAGTATATTATACTAATCAGCCATAATTAGTCAAAATTGTCTTGGACCATTGAAATTTCATTAGATTGCATTTCAGTAAATTCCACTTCCTGTCATTCCAATTCAAATCCATTTCTACTTCCTGCGGGGAGTGACCAAATTGATTCAAATGCACACTCATGTATTAAAAGGGAGCCAGAAATGTTAAATTCTGAAAATTTCCCAACCCTGAATCATACATTTTGAATTCCACAAGAACTTCCTTGCCTTATAGACACGTCAGTGTGCACATTTATTTCAAAAGGGATGCTCTGATTAAAAAAATAAAAATTATAAAAATTTCCTATACAATATCTTTTCTTTTTCTCGTTTCAGAGATGACATAGCTTTAACTGACATAAGGCATATGTTTAAAAAAAAAAATCTATTTAGCAAGTGGGAAATATGCTGAACGTGTATCTATAATATATGCACAAATTGAATAACTTATTGATAACACAGTTCCAAGTGAAAATCCTTTTAAAGACCTGATTTATCAGAGAAAGAGTTTTCAGTAGTGTCCTTAATGCTGATGAAACCTTAAATAAAGTAACAGGCATTACACTGAGGATGTCTTTAATACTGAATCTCAATAGATCCTCGTTTCAGATCCTGTGGAACATTCCGGATTTGAAGTGATAATACTGCACACGGATAGCAGACAACCAGCAGCAGCGCATTCAGTGTGTGAGCAGCTTGAGTCGGGCGATCCAGCTGCTGAACAGTGAGGGTTCTGAGGGGGGTCTCTTGGAAGATTTGGCTGCAGGCTTCCGAGCCACGGCTTCCTGGTAGGGTATGGTGGAGCTGTTGTGTAGGTCTGCGTTGATAAAACACTGGCTGCCGCGGATGTGGTCGACCCCTCGGACGAGTTGGCGTTCTGCTGTGGGGCGGTAGGGCAGCGGGTAACAGGGCGACTCTTCTGAGATGGTGGGGATCTGTTCGTTACTCAGATACCTGTGCAAGACCTCATCACCTGAGAACAGACAAGACACATCGTGTAAGGATGAGAGCTATTTACCAGAAGTGAAAACCATTGACCGCATTCTCAAACCGTTCAAGGACTCTGAGGGCAAAGACAAAATGGCAAAAGCTTTGGCAAAATTGCAAGCTTCATTCTGATTGGCTGACTTCAATTGTTTTTGTTAGTTTGTTAGGAACTAAAGTCATTTTTATAATGTGAGAGCTGTATATTCTGCTTTCATAGCTCAATGTAACTATTGCCATTTTTCAACCCTGTGGACAAAAAAATATCTTCAAACTTTTCATTCTTGCACTAGTTAATTTAATTTGTCCACTAACAATGTCCAACAGTGCACATACATGCATAACATACATGCATAACAATTTTTTTTCATAGGCATGTTTAAGTGTAATTTTCAGTACATCTGAAATGATGTATAGTGTTCAGCAGAACTCTGTGATGGACAACTTTGACACTTTTCCATAATTTTACAAAATTAAAGCTTTTGGAAAGAACACAAACACATCACAAATTATATTTATATTGATTATCGCTTGTTTTCTTCTTCTTTCAACTCAAGCACAGTTTATTCTCACACTGTTGTCTTCCTCGATAAAAAATTTTCAGTGCATTGGAAATGACACCACAAATGTGGGATAGTCACAATTTTGGGGGGAAAACACACAATAAATAATAAAAGGATTACTATCACTCTTTTACAAAATAATTTTTTTTAGAAAAAAACAAACAAACATCCAAGTCACTTTAAGTGTAATCTTCATTAGACATCTGTTATTTTTAATTAAATCTAGCAGAAGAAACCCCCAGATATGTCCATCAAATAATCAAAACTTACTCCTTTACTCCTGCTCATACTTTGGCACACATTTACTTTACTGTCTTATAAGTGCATATGGTGCCATTGATTTCAGATTTAAGTTTCGGACACATTTACCGTTGTTTGGCAAATTTTCATGGGTGCAATCCAGTCATGTTTAATAGTAATCCATGCAATAAGTAAATTTGAAGATTTTTCCAGACAGATTTCCAACAAAATGCTGCTTGTTTTGAAAGTAACTTTTATGTGAGCTGCGCTTCATACTTCGCTATGCTTAATAGAGTTTTTGCCTGCGATATTCCGTTCGAATTTTGCTAATATGACAAGAGAAGAAATTGTTGAATAAAGTTGTTATTTTTGTTTTCTTTGCGCACAAAAAAGTATTCTCGTAGCTTCATAACATTACGGTTGAACCACTGATGTCACATGGACTATTTTAACAATGTCCTTACTATCTTTCTGGGCCTTGAATGCATCAGTTGCATTGCTGTCTATGTAGGGTCAGAAAGCTCTCGGATTTCACCAAAAATATCTTAATATGTGTTCCGAAGATGAATGAAGGTCTTACAGGTTTGGAATGGCACGAGGGTGAGTAATTAATGACAGAATTTTCATTTTTGGGTGAACTAAGTTACAATGTGACAATAAGTTACACAGTGGAATTTATGCTCAAAAGTCTGCCTCTGCCAGACTACGGACTAAGCAACAATGTAAAAAAAATTCATGATGCAACATGATAACTAGCCATTGACTAGCTATGATAACAGGCATTCTTCAGTAGTAACAAGAAAACAACTCTGCATGTGTTTATAGTCTGCAAAAACATTGCACATATTTACTGATGAACTATGGGTATACAGAGATTACCCCTTGAGCTACTGACAAACAGACAAAAATGCAATGCATAGTGTTATCTGACCGTTGTCTGCTCCTGCCCATGTAATTGGGCTTGTGAAATGTTTACGCTGACAGCTGGATACTAACTCCCTTCAGCGGTAGTTTAAACACAGACAGGTGTTGCGCTTACCTTTCCTTCCAAGAGCCCAGGGTCTGGAGGAGGAGTCCGACACTCCCAGGCAAGTGTCTACCGGCATGGACATGGGACGCGGCTTCCCTAAAGCACATGCACAATGAAAGAATCAGTCTAATTGAGTCCTTGCTTGAGCCATGCTGGCTAAGACTTTTATTTAAAGGCTCAGAGTGAAAAGAAAGCAGACGTCATGGAACCAAATGAGTCTCCTCTTTTATTTCTGTGCAGGTTTTATTTGATTTTGTTTTGAAGCTTTGTTCACAATGCACACAAATGCCACATAGTTCACTAAAGGATTGCGCTTTATTTAAAAAAAAAATTTAAAATTTTTTTTTTGCTGTACAGACTACAAACAACTAAACAGATCAGAGTTTCATTACGCTTCAGAGAGCTTTATTTAAAACTTAACATGTTAAAATTATAAAATGGAATGTTTCTTTAATGTTTGCATAACAAAAAAAAAACATTTAAAAATCTTGACATTTTGAATGATCAGAGAGCATTCGGAAATAACATTTTCATAACTTAATTGGAACATTAGCAATACGTTCTTAGAACATACTTTTGTTAGGTGGGTAGTCATTTGATTTTCATGAACAACTTGCTTCATTTTAGAACAGAATGTAAGGTAACTTGCAGTTCATGTTGATTCAGTAATGGCTCTGACTGATTCAGTGAGTTTATTCATTCAGTGGATTCATCAGACTCATTCAAACCTTATGATTTTTACTTTTTTTGTCATAAGAGTAACTTGAAGTGGACTAGTCATCCTGAAAGTTTCAATAGGAATACATTTTCTTGCAATTATATGTGTGGTTTGCATCAGGTTTTATGAGTTGTTTTTTTTTTTTTTGGCTGTACAGACTACAAACAACTAAACAGATCAGAGTTTCATTACGCCAAAAATAAAAACGAACAAATTTTGCCGTCTGTCTGCAGAAAGTCGTAACAATCACATGTGTTATCAGTGAAGCTACTTTGGTGATGTTACAAAATAAAGTCACATAGGTTGAACAGGTACTGACCTCTAGATGGGGTCCGCTGTCTCAGTCGTGCTTGTGGGACTCCGACCTCAGGTGGGTTTATGCTAAGTTTGCTGTTGTAGTCGCTGATATTTGAACGCCGTCTACTAACTAAATCCAGAGATGAGTTGGGCGACTCTGAACCTTTTGGTCTCATCTTCACGCCTGCGTGTTCACTCGTCTCTGCATCTCTACAGACATACAGAGATAAAGCAACATTAACAGACCAAGTTAAAGGGAAAGTGGAAAGTTTGTATTTACAAGTTGGGAAGTCGAAATTACGACGTCAGGTGTGTTCAAGTAACTTTGGCCAGATCAAGATGGTGATGTACCTGTTCTACAAATAATTCAGAAAAGATTTCTACAGCCCTACTTCTACAAAATGATGAATAAAGAATGTGCATCAGGAGTGTTTTTGCTTTTTAATCAATTTATGAAGGTGCTGTAAATTGAATCGTTATTGTATATATTCTATCGTAGTTGTCGAAGTGCCGAGTGTTGCATACGCATCAAAACTGAAGTATGTTTTGAGCTAAGTTTGCATAATTTGTAATGTACTGCAAGGCAGCTCACTATGTTTTGCAACAGAGCCACAGACTAATTGATTTAATATGATGGAGATACATTATCAGAGAAACTGATACTGACCGTGGGCTGTATGGCATGGAAGGAGGAGGAGGAATATAGAGATCTAAAATTGCAGGTTTCTCCGGACGCTTGATTTGCACAGGATTTCTGGATGACTGGGTGGCAGGCACATACGATGGGATCTAAAACAAACAAATGATTATATGCGGTATATTTACATATGATAGCCGTGAAAAAAAAAACCTTGCTAAATTTCATCTTATATCTTTTAAATGAAATCATCACAGAGCTTTTGGATCATAGATCTTTGATAGACCATAGACCAAATTACTACAATAAGACACTTTGTACTGAAGTATTTTTTTTCTTCTCAGGGACCAGCTTTATTTTGTAAGACATGGCAATTTTTGTTGAATGCAGACTTTCTTTAAGCCTTTAGTCATAGATTTTGCTAGAGCAAGAGTGGACTTACTGTACTGTACTGGTCTACTTTTGTAGAAAGAACCAATAATAGTCTTTATACTCAGTAAGTTCCTGTATGGATTATGTGAATTGCATAAACAGATATTAAGAAGGACATTTGTTGGCAAGCAGGGCTTTCATTCATTGAAAGGTAATGAAAGGAAATGTGAGTGGTGCTTGTCTGTGCAAAACTCACCGCCATAATGCTTGTGCGTTATGGATAATTGCTAATAGGGTATGTTTGTCCAATTTTAGTCCAATTGCTTTTAAGAATACAATAAGCAGCCTGATTTGAAGTAGCATTCATGTTCATACCACAAATCAAAGTGCCTCTTTATCATTGATTTTTTTTTACATTTAAAATGTTTTTGGTTTTTTTTATTGAAGGAAAATCGTTTTCTTCAGCTGTAGTCTACAGTCTGACCTTTAAAATTATAGCGAGGTGTTTGGGAGAGTCCATATGGACTAATATTAGCTACAGTATTTCTAAAATCAATGGTTGTGTGACATTTGGACCGGGAGTTTAATCAGGTGGAAACACACATCCTGATGGGAAATCTTAACTGCTGTTAATCAGCATAAGTCAGCTGTGGATGACGTGTGACATCAACATGCATTTTCAAAGGCAAGTTAACGTGTGTGTGTGTGTGTGTGTGTGTGTGTGGAGGGGAAGAAATGTTGCATTGTTTTAGTTCTGCAACACCCATGCAAATCCATCCACTCGTGTTGAAACAATGAAAGTTCATGGAGTTTGTCCAAATGTGAAACACAGAGAAATGGCAGAAAACGCCTCACAAGCTGTCATTTGCCTTCTACAAACAGTCTACACAAGTGTTCAGATGTTTGGGGTCGGTAGGATTTTTAAATGTTTTTGCTCACTAAGGCTGCATTTATTCAATCAAAAATACAGTAAAACTGTGAAATATTACTACATTTAAAATAATTGTTTTTAATTTGAATATATTTTCAAATGTAATTTATTCCGGTGATCAAAGCTGAATTTTCAGCATCATTACTCCAGTCTTCAGTGTCACATGATCCTTCAGAAATCATTCTAATATCCTGCTCAAGAATCAGTTATATTATTATCAATGTTCATAACGGCTGTGCTGCTTAATAAACCATGATACTTTTTTTTTTTTTTGAGACAAAAGCTTCCTGAGAGTCTGGACTGTAGGAGAATGAGGGCAGTACCTGGATGGCAGGGGGTCTCCAGCGCATGTTCTTCAGCAGTGCGGGTGTGAAGCCACAAGTACCTGATGGTCTTTTCTTCACCATTAGTGTCACATTCTGAGGATCTTCTCTGAGCTTTTCCACCAGATTCTTCAACTGCCAGCCCACCTGAGAAGAAAGCAGTACATCTGTTTATGGGTGACTCTTATCAGTTTTGTCTTCATTTCTTGAAACCACGACTTTCTCATAATTGTTCCTTTATCGCTTATACTTGCTTATTACACGGCTCTGTGGAATACTTGATTCTGATTGGTCAATCGCGCCATCCAGCGGTATGTTATTCCCAGATAACAACCGCCAAATTGAATAACACACCGCTCATCCGGGTACTACGAGTTATCTTGACCGGTACTACTTATATGCTTAACGAGTCTATTCTGAGATAACAACCGGCTGGATGTACATTATCCCTTACTTAATTACTCATAATTGTGACTTTATGTTGCATGATTGCATATATTTTATTATTCTACTTTATTATTATTTACTTAAATGGATAAATTTATTTTTCACAATTACAGCTGTACAGTTTTTCTCATAAATGTGATTTTATGTCTCGAAATGTGGCTATTTGTATTTGAAATAGCATTTTAAAATGTATTTACTTTAAACTTTATCTCACAAATACGTGTTTTATTTATTTATTTATTTTACTCTGAGACGGAAATGCCCTTGTGAAAAAGAAGTACACTTTAGAATACTATTAACTTATTACGGAAATAATATACTGTAAAAGAATTCGGTAACACTTTATTTTAGGGTCTCTTAACTAACTAGCTAACTTATTAGCATGCATACTAGAATATTAGCCATTTATTAGTACTAATTAAGCACATATTAATGCCTTATTCTACATCCCTAATCCTACCCAATACCTAAACTTAACAACTACCTTACTAACTATTAATAAGAAGCAAATTAGGAATTCATTGAGGGAAAAGTCGTAGTTAATAGCGAATAAGTCTTCCCTATTCTAAAGTGTTACCAAGAATTCTACTTAAGTGGAAACTGAAAGTAATGCTTTTGGGCAATTAATTCAATGTTATTTACAATTAAATGAAAATGTATTATAGTTTACATTTATATTAATTGCAATTAGTCGAATTTAAGAATGCTTTTTGACTGACTTATGACTTAAGTACACTATCTCTAAAGTATGCCGAATGTCCTGACAAGCATTTATGGTAAACTAAAACATACTTTAATGTCATTTCTATTGAAACTTGTATGTCATGTATTTAAATACATTGGTAATTACTCATTTGTAATGATGCAGTTGCAATTTAGTTCATTTAAAATATATTAACTTTTAACTTTTATACAAGTGCACACTCAATACAATTAAGTGCACTTCTTTTTCACAAGGGTGGACTTCCATAGAAATAAAACCTGGACATAAACGATCATAAATGGGGGAAAGCTGATCCTACTGTAGCTGAGCAAATGTAGTCTGAATAGCTTTATGCTGTACAAATACAAATGGGTAGGGACCAACCCAATGCTTTCTCTGTAAATATGAGGTGAATAAAAAAAACAGCACTGATCCAAAACAATGATAAAGGTGTTCATAACAGTATGGTTATTCAAAAGGCCTTTCATCACGGACATATCTCCCGCTCTCTCCCATGGATCAGGTGTACTCAGTCCAACACAAAAGCTCACCATCTTGCCTCCTCTCACTCTTTTAGGGCAGAACAATTACCCATAATCCTCCTCACTATCATGTGACAGATGCATGGACTCACCACTGTTTGTTTGTTGACTTGAATCACCTCATCGCCTGCATGAATCCTCTGAGTTCTGTCTGCTGGAGACTGAAGGGTGAAACACAGACAGACGTCATGAATCATTTGAAGTAATGCTTGTGAACACTGTTTCTTATGGATCTCAACAATCTATTAATCACAGACTGTGGCTTGAATGATGCAGGACATTGATGCATTAACGGCAAAAAAAATACAATTCAAAGCGATCTGTTGCTCTGTTGACTCACATTTTCCATAGTTCCGGTGATGACGTGTAGCCCATCGTAAGTGGATTTGATATACATTCCCTTTAAAAAAATAGGCAAACAATATGTAGGTGTTAAGCAACGGGCAAACAATTCCAGCGGGTCGTGTGCTAAAGTTGTTGACACTCACCAGTCCCTCGCCTGCTTTGATATTAGTGATGCTGACTTCCTCCAAACAGGTAATTTGACTCTTCAAGGGGTCAGAGGTCATCCTCATGGTGGAATCACAAATTCCGGTCAAAACTTGTGACTGAAATGAACAGAAAGAATAATGTTGTGGTATTTATGATTCATTTGGTCATGATAACTTATGCAGGACTTCATAAGGCTCAACCAAGGCTCATTGTAAAAACATTTCAATCATGACAGCCAGTGGTGTAGTGGTGCCTGGAGAAGTGGGTATACTCTTAATTTATGTCCCCATTTTTTTAAGCGGCCCAGCAAAGGATGAACGGCCTGTGTTATAAACAGTGACGTAAGACTAGTCTTGCATATTTAGTTCACCCCAAAATGGGCCAGTAGTATTTGCACATTTTCACTTACTGTAACTTCTGCTACTTGACTTCACGGAGTAAGGATCATTATGAAATTAATATTAGCAATGCTAGCCAGCCATATAAATGCAAGGCAGTAAGCTCATTGGCTGCATATGCAGCATGAAACAATCAGCTTGTGCCAAGTCGTTTAACTCTCTGAATATCATCAGTTACGTTAACACCCCGTCAGAATGCGCCATCTAGAGTTTCATGACTGAACTATATATTTGTGCAAAATATTACATTGCTTCTTGCATGTTTTGTGACACTTTTAAAGAGAAATTTCCAGTGAATGGTTGTTGTATGTACTGTGGCAGTTCGTAAATGAAATGTCCAGTGATTGCTGCTAAAATGTTTGAAAAAATGTACCACTTTCCTATGCTAAACCTAACCAAAAGTGTTAACAAAAGCAAACATGTGATAAAAATGCATTTGCTGACACAACCATCAGTCAGCTTGCTTCTACTAGTCTTTGAGCTCTTTTATCATGATTCATTTTACGGGATTCCTTCTCGAGTGCTCTGCATCACAAGTGCAGTGCTGTACCAGGTGGGCTACCGAGCAAGTTTACTACGTCAGAAAAGCCATATATAGAAAACTGATAATGTGATGCAAATGTCAAATTGTATTTCTTTAATTTGTACTATGGTAAGATGTTTTGAGGTCATAACAGCATTGTGCAAGGAACTGCATGGAAATAAAGCCGCTTCTCTCATCTTGATTTATTTATTTTCTTTCATTGAATGCATTCTGGGATTGTATGGAGCCTCTCACATGACATGGGAGGAAAATAGATATTGTGCCCACAAATTAAGAATTCATTGCCACCACTTATTAATAAAAAATGTGGCAATGATTTACCACAATTTAACTATGTTTACCACTACTTAACCACATTAAATTAAAATAAGGAAGGAAATTAATAAAACATTTTCCACAAATTAATTCTTTACTATATCCATTTTTTCTGCAAGTCATGTGCGGGGCTCTGCAGGATTGGATTGTCTGTGAAGGATATTTGGATATATGGCCATGAATCCCTATTATCAGACACTTTTGGTGGCAGAATAAATGAATCATGGGTGACAGATTGCCTGCGAATAGGGTATTTCTACAATGGCTATGATTGGTCTTTTTTTTTTTTTTTGGCATGGCATCACTGTTTCACTGACTGAGAATCCACAGTTAGGGATCATTAACACAAAATGAGATGATTCTAGTGGGTTCCAGAAAGATCTGCACTCTGCTAAAGTCAAACATGAGGCCATGATGTGCACAGGATATTCTCTTGCACATACACACTGCAGAGTGAGGCTGGCTGGATGAAATCAATCATGAAGTCAAAGTTAACCTGATTTACTTTAAGGGATAGTTCACCCAAAAAGGAAAACTTTATCTCATGTTCTTCCAAACTTCTGACTTTCTTTCTTCTGCAGCAAAAGCTATTCTCAAGAATGTTTTTGTCCATACAATGGAAGTCAATGGGGTCCAAAACAACATATTTTGAAGTGACATGGGGATGACTACTTGATGGCATTTCAAATGATCGTTGAAACTTGATTATTGATTATTCTATCCTGTTGGCCTCTAAGGCTGAGATACTGTAAATACTAACCAAAAATCATAACTTATCAAATCCCAAAGGATAAAATGAAGTACTGCTCAATATTACATCTTGCAACTTACTCTGTTTCACTTGCACACTATGCATATTTAGCTCAAATCATTGTTAAGTGTGAATGCAATTTATGCTTGTTTGTACTGTACAAACTGTTGAAATTATTGTATAGCATCCGGAACATTCCTTTAATGGAGATTGTGAGACACTGTTATCTACCACAGGATGTTTCAGTGGTTCCTGTGGACAAAATCTCGAACTGAACAATAGAGTTGCATCTCCACACTCACAATGAACCCAAATGCATCACAGATAACAGCTGAATCTCTGACCTGAGAGACGTTTGCATGCTTGAATGATAAATATGCTGTGTTTGAAATAACTGCGGCAAGACTTACCACTTCTAATATCTTCTCCTCCATTTCAAACACTGTGCAGTCCTGCAATTAAAAAGGGAGGATTTGCATGAGATGCCGGAATAAAGGTAAATTATGTGAAAAATAATGCGTTTTTTTTCAAACGAACCATGAACACATGTTAGACTGCACCCCATAAACACAATCAAGCCTAGAAAAAAAACAGTCAACCACCCCTTTAATTGATCAACTGACATTTTTACAAATTACTATTTCTATTTGAATGAAATGTTATTTACATTTTTTGTTCTCAAATAATCCTCCTAACTCTGACCATAAAGGCTTTTCACACAGGAAACTTTTTTGTTTGTTTGTTTGTTTAAATGCAGCTAGACATTTTAACGAAATAGAATTTAATGTATGAGTCTCGAGAAGTGGTCAATATGTTTGGCCAATTCAGAAAAGAAGTCTAATTCTGATATGATGTATATCATTTAAATTTGTTTCGTTTCGTTTATTTATTTTAGTTTTAGTTATTTTTGGCAACTAGCTAAAATTTGTATTTTATTAAATTGTTTATTTTATTTCAAGTAACAAAAGTGTTTTTTTCCCCCTGGTTTTAGTTTTAGTTCACGATAATAAACCTGGTAACTATTTTGACATTTTTACAAAAAATTACAAAAAGAATTTAAAAAAAGAAAATGCACTCAATAAGAATGTAATAATTAAATTATAAAAGTAATTATAAAATAAAAACGTTTATATTTCATATAGTAATTATAATTAAAATTCTCTCTTTTAATGGGATTTTTTAACAGTTTCATACAAACTCGGTGAATGAAAAGTAGCAACCTGCAACTGTTACCTTAAAGACCAAATAAAACAGTTTTTTGGCATAAACAGTGATGTCAAATAACATTTTTGACTTTTGACTAGTTCATTTAGATGTTAGCATTTTTAGGTTACCGTTTTTTCAGTGTGCTGTGAATGCTTGCAGAGCTTTGACTAGGAGATCAAAGCTGATGAACACAGTAACAAACCTTCTGGACAGTTGTGGTCAGTTCCAGACAGAGCTGAATGATCTTGTTTTTGGTTGATGTAAAGTCACTGATTCCTGTCAGGGGAGTCCTGCACACAAACAAAGAGAACAAAGTGTAACTCATCCAAACGCTCATGAGATGTTCACTCATCTGGTATGATCTGGTATGTGATGTTTCAAGCCCAAACATGCAGTGTACGTATGTGTTCATGTGTGTCTGTATGACATCACGAGGAAAGATTTAAGGTGTTTTGACTGAACACAGAAACCAAAGCAATAGTTGGTGAGACAGCTGCCAGTAAGAATGTGACACTGAAACATGATTCAAATAAAATCTTAAATATTCAAATAAATCTACATTCAAGGACATTCAAATTTTTTTCCTAAAATTGTAAGAATTGTATTGAATGATAATAACATTAAGAAGATGTTTTGTTAACACTATTTTAAGAACATTTCTTCCAAAAATGTGCCCAGCCTTTACATTATGTTAAGCCAAAATACTTGGAACATTCCTTGTAGGTGAAGTCTGTAAGAGGCAGAAAGAGTGTGTTTGTATGTAAATCTCAC